TTTAAAAATTCTAGTAAAGACCTGCTCATGCTGTTTCAGAGGCTTTTAAGAATTTCAGTGTGACGGTAATATTTTCTCAGAGAGAATGTGCTGGAAATCTATTGTAAATGTAACCAAGTTCAATACTTAAATTAAAATATGGGCAAGGCTTAAAAGTACTCTGGGTTTTCTGTGCTTAGATTCTCCTGAAAAATCTGCTTCTAAATAATTTTCATTAAATGAAGCTTTTATGTCTCTTTATTCCTTGATTAGGAAAGCAATGATTTGAAAAATTCAAGATATTGAGGTCTCAAAAGTGTCAGGGATGCTCAGCTTCAGAAAGCATAAGTAAATATTTCAGTACAATATGCTCAAAATAAATTGCTGTGAATGCTTGTGGGTATACAAATATTTCTGATCAGTTTAATGGGTCAAACTTTCATATAATTAGAAAGGTGCTGACTGTACTCATGCATGATCAAGTTAACAATGTCTCACTGTATTCTGTATAAAACAGGATTGTGATGCATCTAAGGCTTCTTATAAGAAGTGAACACTGCTTTATGAATTTTCTTTTTTTTTCTTTATATTGAGAACATTGAAGTATTAAAAACTGCTTTTGCAGTACTTTATTGAATAGCATCAAAAGCAGAAAATCCAGATTTTAGATGGCAAGTGCAGGTTGTCACTCATGTTTTAAGTTCTGCCTGCTCATGACCTGTTTCAATATCTATGCTTGGCGACCTGATGCCCAAGGTTCTACTTTGTAGTATTTTTTTTGGTGATAATCTTTTCCATTATGCCCAGTCAAACAGTTTGATTTTCCAACATTCTTCCCACTTGTATTGTTGTTTACTTTCATGGGAGAAAATGGACTGAGAAGGTGGCAACCAAGGTGAAGGAAGAACAGGCTTTTCACTTGGTTATATTATAACTGGCTTCAGATAAGTCTTTCAAATGAATAAGTTACTGTCAAAGGTATGAGGTAATAGAAAGCCTAGGTGGCTGGGGTTAAGCACTGTGAAGTCTGAATGACCTCTTGGTGGCAGACCATTGAAGTAAAATTTAATCTGGTTATAAAATTCAGATTTTTTTCTTTTAAACCATTAAAATATTCCTCCGCCCCAGACTGCATCCCTCTAATGTGCCAGAGTTTTTTCTCATCTGCTTTTTAATGAGGTGTCTGATTATAATTTTTGGTTTGTCCTCTTCTTTGTACAAGTTGGTGAAATTCAGATTTTCCTGTAGATAAGCCTTTGGCTTTTCAGTTGCTTCCGCCTTGCAAAGAAATTAATTCCTTCAAGCCAGAGAGTCTGCAGCTCCAGCTGTGACTGTAGATGAATGTTCTTGCAGGGTCATGTACTGTAGCTCTGAACCTAAATAAAAGGATTAACAAGAGTTCACTTGGAGGAAAAACACTTAATTTCACTGTAATAACTAGGAGAATCCATAGGGAAAACCAATAAAGCTTTACTATTAAAATTGTTAACAAATGATTATTCCACCCTGACCTTCTCTTCCCACTGTTATTGTACTTTTGAACAGTAACAAATGATGGGATTGACCTAGTTCATGGTAGTGCTTTTGTCCCTGGCCTACAAATGATCATGTAAAATAATTCCTAGTCTAGCTCTTATGAGAAGCATTGCTAGTATTTATGAAAGAAACAATGTTTTCTGGTGCATTTCACGTGATCTTCTGCCACAAAACTTTGCTTGGTGTGAAGGAATAAGGGGTATCATGTAGACAGTGATGCTGAAACTGAGCCTGGCAGCCAGCAATACCCACAGGATACATCTGACTGCTCCAGAAGAGCATGACTGATTCCCACAGCTAGCACAAACAGCTTTTAATGGTTCCTGGCAGAAAAGGAGGAATTCTAGGGTAACCAACTCTCTTCAGTTACATATATAGACCTCATTGTCTCATCTCCCAGCAGCACCTCTGCTCAGGAATGGGGGAGAGCAGAGGGGCTGCTGGCAGGGTCTTCCTCACTCAGTAATAACTCAGCTGGCTGGTGATGACTGTGGTACAGCTGCTTTCCACTCAAGCAAATGGTGCAGAGGGCCAAACCACTGCTCAGGGCAATAGTCTGATCCCTCAGGGCTCTCCTCTCTCTGATGGGGATGCAAGGAGAGGGGGAAGGATTTTGGTTTTAGTGATCTTGACTCTCCCCAGCATTTTAGGACTGCTAGCCTCAGGCAGCACTATTGCCTGAGTAGACAAAGCAATACTTGCATCCATTTCCTTGGGAAGGAAGTCAGGTAATTTAAATTGACTAATGTGACTGCCCTGATTGGCTTAAGAAATCAAACAGATGAAAGTTGTCTAATTTAAAGGTTAAATCTTGATATTAGCTTTGTCTGCTGCATTATTTGGGTTTTGGAGGTGGTGAACAAGTCCTGGTTGGTAGGTTGGTGACCATCATGATCCCCTGTCTAAAAAATGCTTCAGTGCCCATCTAGGTTCTCTGCTGGGAGCTCCTGGTGTTGAAGCCAAGGCATGAAGGCTGGTCTGCCCAAAAATGGTCTGAGGTTCTGCTTGGGCCCACACTTGATACTAAGAGCTGGAAAGCATTCTGGGCTCTGTCATGTGCTGTTGTGTTCCTTATTTTTGCTTCAAAGGTTTTGCCCCTACGTGGCATTTTTGTGTGCCTAGTATATATTTTCAAAGAAATATAGAAGTATTCATCAATCTGTCTTTCATCTGTAGGTAACCTAATACTTTTTCTTTTTCCAGATAAGAATGTATGGATAACATTGTGCTTTGTTTCAACAATGTTCCTCATTTGTGACCAGATGAGAATCACACTCAACTTTGACTGTGGCCTACTCATTTTATTTTTCTCCAGCTTTGTTGCTTGCTCAGAAATGTGGTTTTGGTTTTATTCCCTCTTCATGATTATTTTGTGGGGCACCTTCTGAAACTGTAGAGACTACCAAGAGTCCATAGGGATGGACTGGAGCCACAGTCTGAATAGAATTCCACATGAACTTTTGTTCTTCATTATACCCCTGCTCCAGCACTCTTTGAGCTGAATGTTTTTGATGGTCTCTTGTTTAATACTTAATGTGGCTTTAATTAGTCACAAGTGGCAATTATCCTCTAAAGTTAGGAGTTGCAGTTAAATTAGGTATACTCTTCTATCAACCATTTTTAAAATTTTTTTTTTTTAATGCCTTAAGTTCAGGTAGGCAGCTTGTGCTTTAGAGAGGTTTCTGTTTTTCCTACATTCTTCAGTGATGTTTGGTCTCCTTGCAGAGAAATTGCAGAGATTCTGTTGGAAGATACTCGAGTTTTAACAGCATGTTTTTTGGGAGAAGTTGGCTGATATTTTGGCTGAATTTTTAGGACCTTAGTGTTATAAGATGAAAATTATAGATCAAAGCCACAGCAGGTAATGGTACAACTGTCAGGTGTCTCTGTATATGTTAGGTCTTCATTGGCTCATTGTTGAATTCACACCAGTGGGATTTAAAAGTGAATAGGGAACTGTAATTTAGGGTCTCCTGCTGCTATGTAATAGCTTGAATGTACACCAAGTTTATGAGATGCATTCTGGATAAGGCTAACTTACTTTTATCTGATTGATTTATTGATTTCATTTGTAAACAGAGCAAATATCAGAGGAGTCACTAATGAAATAAGACTATTACCTGATCCTGCTGTATTTTGTTTCTTAACACAGAGATACACTGAAGCCTCTGCTGCATAATAGGGGGTGAGGTTCTCTAGGCTTTTAGGCAGTTATGTAAAATTGAGATTATGTGAAAAGACATACAATAGAAAATCTAATATTAAAGCTTTTCAAATTTTGTAGATGATGAGATAGGTTTCTGCTTGTGGATTTTGTAAGCTTTGTCTCTTTGTAAATGAAGTACAGGCAAACACAGTTGTAGCCCTATCCTGAGTGGTGCTTTGCTAATCCTGACTTACTGGAGTAGGCAGCTGGACTGTCCATGAGAAGCATGACACATGCTGATTTCTGCACTGAAGCAGCAGAAATCAGAATGTTATTCTGTGTGCTGCAGATTGCTGGAAATTGAGTGGGACCTATGTGGAGATTGTATTGTGCCCCTTAGATCTGATGGATGTAGTTTTATAACGTGCAGCAGGGAGGAGATATGTGTTATAGATGTAGCTCACAATAAAATATGCTGTCTTATGTAAGAGCAGACCCACCTGTGTGCTCTTATGAATAAGAGCCCTAGAAAGCATGTTTTGTCCATGCAGCTTTTGGTGCGTGCTTGCAGACATGGGAGTTAACTGCAGTACCTGAAATCTGAAAGGTGAATTTCCCGGCTGCATCTTTACTCGGTTAATCAAGTAGACACATTTTTTCCAATTTGGTATTTAATTTATAAAAAGAAGACTTTGCAGAGATACTATTTAACTGATGTAAGTTGCAGAGCTTTTTAATGTACTCATGTTGTGAGTTGGCATGTTGTGGCTCTAAAGTCAAAATGCAGCACTAAATATAGCTGTGTCCAGAATTTTAAAGTATTTTTTTGTACCTGGACACTTAAACACAGAGCTTTCCAACTGAAAAGAAAAAAATATTAAGGAAAGATATATTTCACTTTTAGTATAAGTCATTCTTTCTATGAAATGCAGCCATAATTTGGAAATGTTATTTCTTTTTCTGTGAGAACTGAAAAACTTCTGTAGAACTACTATGAATTAGTATTAACGAGTGGATACGTAGATGCAGCATAGGCTCCAAATGGACAAACTGACTATGGATTACTGTTTCTCTTTTGATTCTTCTATTTTTACATGTCATGTTGATTTTTTCTATCTATAATTAGTCTTGTAAATAATTGTGTTACTTGTGGCTCTGATTCTGCCTTAACAAAACGTATCACAACTTTGAATGCATGGGGAAAGTCTAAATCATTGGAACTAAAAAAAATCCTTGCAAATTCAGTGTCACACTGAATTCTGAAATATTATTTTTCTATTTGCAATGGATTTGGTGGGCTTTATATTGTGTAACATGCTATTTCTTTTTAAACTCTTAGGAGTTTACCAGATCTTTTTATGTGGTTGCTGAGGCATTGCCCTGGGACAGCAGTAATGAGGGATGGATGAACAGAACACACTTCAGGTAAGAAATCAGATATATGTCATTTGGTGTGGCTGTTCATTAACTTTCCTCACATTGTTTTGGTTCAGCTTCAGTAGCATCAGTATTTAATCTTACACCACCAAAATTCACTGAATATAAAATACAAATCTCTTGTCTACATGAATGTTTACATATATCTCTCTGTAAATCAGTGTCAGCAGGTTTTTGTTTTCCTTCTATATTTGGTAACCCTGGTAACAGATGCTGCTGCTGTTACAGTATTTACCCTTGCTACTGTATAAATTTCCATAAGAATTGTATTTCACATTAGTGGTTACAACTATAGGTCTGAGTGTAAGAATGATTTCAGCATTTCTTGTGTGGTTTGGGTAACTTAACTTGTTCTTTAAGGCTGTGCCAATTCAGGATATAGTTGTCAAGTTTTTGATATCCTTGGAAGTTAATGTAAGCCTGTTAAAGCCCGTACAAAGGCAAGCAAAAGTTGATATTGATTTAATGCTTGCTGTGCCACAAGCTTTGTGAGAAAACATGGACAAAATCTTTAGTTTCCATATCAGTGGTAACTAAGTGCCTATGTACCAATATGCTTGCAGTGTTTTTCTCTGGTAGAGAAAATAGTGCATCCAGAGTACTTTTTTTTTTTGCACAACTCTGATGTGCCCAGGGCTACATTGACCTTTCTGTGCACTTGAAGATCACCTTGCTGTGCTGGCAGGGTGGGGCTGCCAGGCAGCCAGTGCTCCAAAGTGAAGGTGGGTACTGCTGAGTGCACATTTGAGCTGCAGTGAAAGGCTTGGCCTTATGTGTAGGTGCTGTTTCGAGTCACATGTGGGTTTTGGTATCTTTGCCCTTGTCTCCTCTTCCTTGGTGAAAGCATTCTGAAGACAGACATGGTGGAGACTGCATGGTGTTCAGGTTGGAGCCAGATGTGTTAAAGAGTTGTCTTAAGGCAAGGACATAGAATATACAAAGGAAAGACCCTGGAGTTTACTTTATTTTCCAACATGTAGGGTGCAAGAGCATAAATATAGAAAACACATAAAAATGTAAGTATCTGTGGATCAAGGACCAGGTTAAGCATAGAGATTTAGGGAAGGCATAGCAGCCTTCTGTCCCATGGAGTGACTGATGGCTGGTGCCAAGGGAGCAGAGTGGAGCATGTGATTTCTTCCCAGATCAACCTCTCATGCTCCACAGATGGACATCTGAGTCAGTGCTGGCTTCTTTGATGAGTAGTCTTTGCTATGCTTTCCCTTTCTGTGGATTTGTGAGGTTATGATTTGATCCCAGGTGGATTTTTAGACTCTGCCACTTTGTACTGTTCTGGATACCCTATCTGAATTTTCGGGAGGGAGGAAGCAAGTAGTCCCTGCAGTTAGTTTTGCACCTCCTACTTGCTAATTTCATTTAACGTGGAGACTGGGTTGATATGCCAGGAGACTCAGGAGTTGAGTTGAGCCTTTTATGCTCACCAGTGGGGTGGAAAAGATGATGGATGCAAAGCTTTAAAGAGAGTTTAAAAAGCAGCTAGACTAAAATCTCCTTGAAGTGAAATGAAGCTGTGGGCTTTCTGTGGCCCTCCCACTGCTAGGGCCTTCCTAATGAAAAGGTTTGAGGCAGCTGCTTGGACCTGTCTTGCTTTCATCTTTTAGTTTATTTCCCATGATTTTAATAGGAATTTGGGGTTTATGTTCTGTACCTCCTACAGTTACAGAAAGCTACAGAGAAGATGCTATGTCATCTGTTAAGCAGTCATCCTGCCATTTATTTTCCTGACAGGATTCAAAATGTTTTGGAAGAAACTACCATAAATTTAAAATATCCTGAGGATATATTCTCAATGGGTTGAGCCTCCCAGCAAGACATTAAAATATAGCACCATTAATCAGAACTGAACTATATTTTTTCTTGTTGTTTTTCTTTTGCACATTTAAAACATTTTGGGTTTTAAATATGGGTTCACTTTAGATGGACTAAAAAAAAAAAAAAAAAAAAAAAGGAATTGCCCAACAATGCCTCTGCAGCAAAATCATTGCACTGAGTACCTGACTGTTCATGTTGCACCTGATGTGTCGAGGCTATGGAAGAAAGTGTGAATATTGCATAAATCTACCTGACTTGCTTAGATGGAGTCTCAGAAAAACACTATGCAATATATATGATGTTAACTATTCTGGTAGGATTGCTGAACTGGAAAAGGCTGAAGGTGGGCCTCTCTGAAAATGTAAAATTTGAGACTGTGAATGTGCTAAGTACAGAATTCAGAATGCAACACTTTTCCATGTAAAGGCATTTCAAAATCTGTAAAAGCAAGCAGAAACTAAAACAGCTCTTAGCTAAAATCTTAGAGCCAGCTGAAGGAGAATAATTTAATTATTCTGATTCTTCTTCTTCTTGGCAGAGACTATTTGGGAGACAGAATTTTTGCAGCTGGATAGAAGTTTGGTTTATTTTTGCTCTTGATTTTTGTTTTTGTTAAAAACAATGGAGATCTTGGACTTAATAAGTGATTACAGAACCAGATGAATCTTGTACACTTTTTTCTATCCCAAGTGCCCTTATTTTCCCTTCTGTGTCCATATCTGGGGCTAAATCCTTAAGACATACAGAGCAAATTGGATGTAGCATATCATTTAAGGCTATTTCACTTAAGGATGACTGCACTGTGTGTCTGATGACTCATGGAAAAACATGTAAGACTACAAAGCCAGCTTGCTCACTTAGAGGAAACTGTTGGACACCTTGTTCCTGAACCCCCAGAAAATGGGCAAAGGATTTCCCCTGAATTCCTGTTGTGAGGCTGATGGACAGTGAACTTGCTTGTGGTACAAAATGACCAGGTATTTAATGGAGAACCAAAAGAAGGAACCTCAAATGAAAAAGCTTTCTAATACTAGAACTGTGGGTGAACTGTTTGCTCGATGATTTAAGCCTTCAGAAGGGAGATGTGATGGGGAGAAGGGAAAATCTGATTTGTTTTCTTGTACAACAGGAAAACAGGGAGGAGTGGATGAGAAAAATGTTTTGAGAGAGTTTGGAAATGGAGAAAGTGAATTGGACAATTTGATTAGACTAAGGAGAATAAGGCTTATCCACAGATCCTCTGGGTCCATGTGAATATGTAGAGGTGGATTGTTTCTTACCAGAGATTTGTATAAAATTGCAAAAACAGAGCAGGTTTGGGGGGGGCGTTGCCTTTTTTTTTAATATTCTTTTTTTTTTTTTTTCTGTAGCAGGGTATAACTAGATTGTAAACTTTGGCAGAACTCTTAACATCTGAATGCTTCTTGAAACTATGACAATGTTTTTGTAAAACTGATTCTGGATCTAGAATAAATGAGATTTTTTTTTAATAGGTTCCCTCCTGTTAATTAGATGAAACAGTAAGTTTTATATTTGTCCAGAAGGAGGTCAAAACAAACAAGAAATTGAGATTGGAGGAGCCAAACAAGGATAAATAATGAGCCAATTTCCCAAACTGGCATTGACCTACCAAGAGTTTGGAAAAAGTATTCTTGCAAGCTTCTTTTATTATTATAACCTCTTGAACAGAATAATCCTGTCCAAACAGCTATAAACGCTTTCCAACAGAGAAGTTTATGACCTAGTTTTTCACTGAAACAGAGTATCACAGTGTTTGGAAAGAAGCGAAGATGCTGGTGGCAGTTCCTCTAGCACATTGCACTAGAAAATCCATGCAATTGCTCTTTTCCAATTACTCTTAATTGGAGTCAAGTAGATTGAATTTTAAACATTGTTTGCCTTTTTTTTTTTTTTAATGCCTGATATGGCATGCAGAATTTTCATTGATGTCTGAAAGTTTTAGCAGAGCACTGCTGGGAAAAATGGTCGTTCTAGGATGATCTCAATAGGAATTCAGCAATTATAAGATGCCTTTCTAGATTCTGTGTTGGAACAGTGAAGGGAAAAATAAAAGCACATTTATTCTGTACACAATTATAAATCTGTTTTGGAGTGACAGGGATAATTTTGATTAAGCTTCATTCCATTCATGGCCCTCCTGTCAGGAGCAGGGCAAGGACATGATGGCAATGTGCTCAGAGGAGGTGGGAACAAAACCACTGAACTTGGGATTTGCACATCCAGTTCTCTTCAGCTGGGGAAACGCAGCCTTGCAGTAGGCACCAGAACAGGCCACAGTTCAATTATCTGCTCTGGCGAGAGGCTGGTGGAGGCCTCACTTCTGTGCCGGGGGGAGCAGTGCAGAAGTAAGCTAGATCTGCTGTTACAAGTTTTGGTTTGTTTCCTTTTTGTTGCTTTTCCTGTGACCCACTGATGTAACTGAAAGGGAGGGAGCTGTGCTGATCTCCATCAGCTGCAGCTGTGGCCAATACCAATCATCCCTTTCTTCTGCATTTCCAAGGAGGTTGGGAGTGATCTTGAAAGCACAGATCATTCATGTCAAGAAGAGTTTCTGAATGCTGCTGAAATACATTAGATAATACTTGGTTAGCATGGAAAGAGCTATAGTTAAAATTCTTGTAGTATTTCAATTATAATTCTTTTATTGTTTCAGTTGCTTATAACTTCCTGAACTGCTCATGTCTCAAACTGCAATTTTCCAGACTTGATCTTGGCCTGACAGTGACCTTTCTTCTCTTTTCTTCTTTGTTTCTCTTTTCTCTGTGGTATTGAATGAATATGTCTTGGGCATTTTATCTGTAATGAGAAGAAAGTAGCAGCAAAATACATTATAGCTATTACATTAAAACTCTGAACAGCTCAGGCAGTGCAGCTGTTAAAAAAATAGTGAAAATCATCAAAAGTGCTTTTTGAATCTTATGAGAATCTGTGAGAGTGGGCACTTAGATATCAACTTTGGGTCTTGAACTTTCTTTTCTCTCCATCATGCACAATCATTACACTCTGTCACAATTATAATATGCAGTTATTTTGCCTAATCAGTGATCAGCTGGATGAAGAAGTAGTCCTTGGTGAAAGAGCGGACCTGTTTTTCACTGTTTGCCATGACCCTGGTGAGACAGGGCTTTGGAAAT